AAGCCAACACTCTCCTTAAGGTAGTCTGATCCTCAGGTTTATAAAATAAGCAGTTAAGAAATCAAAATTACTCATAAAAGTATCTCTGAATCCACAAAGTTATGTAAATTTATCCACAGTATTTCTTTAAAGTTAAAGATTAAAGTTTATCATATTATGTAGGGAAAATTGTCAAATCTCCAATATTTTTGCAGAACAAGAGGCCCACGGGCCTTATAGGTCACCTGAGTATCATGTAACAACTTTCCAGCGATTGTATTTGGCTCCTGATTTAATCCCAAAAGCCATGAAATTCACAAATTTTGAAAGAGGCACCATTGCTTATCAAAGAGCAGATTTCAAAGCATTAATTTATTTTTAGTCAAATACCCCCCCCCCCCCCCGGTACCCCTGACCCAGCAGCCCTGAAATTATCTATTTTGAAAGAGGCCCCTTTCTTCATCATAAAGCCAGCATTTTTTTTTATTTCTAGGTTTAGTTATGAACATCAGAATGAAAAATCCCGAAGGAGAAGGAAAAAAATTTTTTTTTGGATAAATCAATCAAGAAAAAAAAAGAAAAAAGAAGAAAACAAAACAATAAAAAGAATTCAATTCCTTAGCATCGGGATCGAGATTCCGAACTTCTCGGAAGTTTCCGACAAAATCGGAAATGCCCGAACCGTTTAAGTGACGAAAGTATGACGTCAGATAAAAAATCCTGTTGACTTTGGACGCAAACGATAGAACTTTTTATGGCATGGAGATTGCATTACATCGTTGTTTGTAATTTTTTTGAAGTAAGTTGTTGCTATGTTTTAGCCACCATGTTGCTATGCACCACAAAGGATTATTGGGAGTTTGGAATTTTTTCATGTGGACTCATAAAAATTTCTTGGAACAATGTGCAGATTTCAACCTGAATTTCCTCTGTTCGTTCACGTTAGCCTGTTGAGCTCGCTACGCGAGCGGTGCTTCGCGCCGCCTCGCTGCGCTCGCTTTAATTCCTATCATAAAACAGATAGGGAATATTGCGGAGTAGGGTGAACATTTTTTTCAATTAAGGGTAATTTAAATAATTTTTCTGGCTGCCTACATGCCTGTATATATTTGTATATACTTGCTTTTTAATAGTTGAATTTTTTTTATTTCTTCAGGCTCTTGTTTATTTCTTCCTCAAATGGACTTAGCTTCTCCCATAGTTTTATTCATTACATCTGATGCTTAAGAATGATCTTAGACTGTAAGCTATAACAGAAACCTAAACAATGTCGCTGGCAATAGCTACCACGGGCAGTTTTAAACCTGAGGAAAATAATTTACAGACAGATACTTTTGAAACGAATACATAATTATCTCACCAGCATGTCATTGTGCAACAAAGTCGTCAGCATTTTATTTGTCCTTTGAACGGGTGAAACGTTTTGAATGGCACTCTTATCGATGAATTTTACCAAGCTATCTATCTTTGCAGATCTAGCTTTATTTACCCGCCAAGTTCATCTTAAAACCGGAAGTACGAGTTCGTAAATTTGAAATCTCGATCCCGACTCAAATTTAACATCAGAAAGGAAAAAAATGTTTTATTTTTTCTGAAAATTCAAAACCTTGAGCGGTGGGTTTGTAAACCTGACAATAAAATAAATCCTGGCCTTAAATATCTAATTAGATCATTGGCATATTAACCAGGAGCAAAGGATAAGATGTTCAAAGAATTCATGCATTTCACTATATAATCATTAGAGCCCCACCCTAAAACAAGAACCCCTGACCCAGGGGCCCTGAAATTCACAAATTGGGAAGAGGTAGTCTTATTCAACATAACTATGGACTTGGTTAGTTTAACTAATGCCCAGGAGTAGAGAAGAAGATTTTTAAAGAATTAATGTATTTTCACTATATAATCAATAAAGCCCCGCCCTAGCACTAGAACCCCTGACCCAGGGGCCATGAATTTCACAATTTTGGTAGAGGCCACCTTATTCAACATAACTATGTACTTGGTTAGTTTATTTAATGCCCAGGAGCAGAGAAGAAGATTCTCAAAGAATTTATGCATTTTCACTATATAATCCATTTAGCCCCGCCCTAGCACTAGAACCCCTGGCCCTGGGGCCATGAATTTCACAATTTTGGTAGAGGACTCAATGCTGATTACAGTCATGAAAACAGTTTGACTGCTTGATGTCCAGGAGTAAAGAAGAACATTTTTAAAGATTTCATTAATATAACAGGGTTTTGCCCCACCCCTCAGGCCCCAGGGGGGGGCAGGGACCATGAAATTCAAAATTTTTGTTCCCTTTTACCCATAGATGATTTGTGCCAAATTTGGTTGAAATTGGTTGAGTGGTTGCAGAGAAGAAGCTGAAAATGTTCAAATGTTAACGCACGGCGCACAACGCACGACGAACAGACGAAAACAGATAGCTATAGGTCACATGAGTTTACTCAGGTGACCTAAAAAGCGAATTGGAATATCAGCAATGCATTTTCTAATTGCAAATTGATCAACAAATATATTTTAGGTTAAAAAGCGATAGGTATCCTGGCATTCAGAGAAATTGTCATAGTTTTTATACTTATTTTGTTCTTTTTGTCTTCTATTTCCATCATGTATTCTATAATACATAGTGTAAAAGGCTTTTGTTATCATTGCAAGACAACACAAATCACTTCTTATTTCATATCATGTTAATAAACATTGGTATCTAAGACTGGATTCAAGAGAATCTTATTTCTCTAAAACTGTATTGATTTTTTCCTTTTATAGGTTACAAATGTCAACTTTTATACGACCTTTTCTAAGACTTCCATAGACCTTGCATCTTATAAAGATAAATTAAATTAAAATTGTTGCATGAAAAAATTTCATTTTCAAGCTTCAATTTGATGCATTTCAAATTAAATATTAATTTTTGGAGTTATCCTTCCTAACTGGGGATCGGATATCCTTAATCTCCCAAAAAATATAACCATCTATTTTAACACCTAACAATGCTTGAAAATCAAAGCATGAATGATAAAATGAGGTACATGGGCCAAAGCACTCACATTTGGCCCTGCTGTTCTCCTTCAGCATTTTTTCCCCTAAATACACTAACTTCCTTTGTCAGCATAAAAAAGGATGCCATGATTCAAGTTGAATCCATGTAAAATTGAGATACTACAATTGTTCGTTTCATGTTCCTTCAAGAATTTTTCACTCAATGAAAGATTGAAATGTGACCATTCACAGGAGAAGTCTGCAAATTTAGACCTGTGCTTGGCACTTATGGCTTTTGAGCAGTGAGGATTCTTTTTTGTGCCAGCATGTACCGAGACATGGATAACAAAAGGCCCACGAGTCACAATGCTCACTTGAGTTACGTTACCACTGTGGTCTACTGAAGGTTTTCAAAAGATTTTATTGATATTATGAAAAATTGCCACCCTATTAATAGTTCATGAGAGGATTTTTTTTAAAACTGCCTTATGAAGTCAAAAGGGGTCCATGATTTAACTCTTTCCCCCTTAGACCTTTCCCTCTGTACCACTTAATGAGGACTTTTGACGCCTAGCCCCCAACCCTTAATGACGACTTTTGACGCACGTGTATTTAAATGTTGATTTGACTTGAAATTACCGCTTGTTTACTAGATATCAGAGCACAGGTGGCCACCTGCAGGTTAACAATAGATGATTGCATCATACTAAAGTTAGAAATCACGTGATTTACCTGTGTACGTATACAATGAATTTTGGAAAGTCCCATCAAAATTCAAAATGGCGGACAGTTACATACGATGCTTTTAGAGCATATAACTCAGTCAATATGCAATATTTTCTCATCCAGTAAATCAATACATGAAATTCAAGCTATAAACTACCTATTTCTTGAAAAGTTTAAAAATGATAATGATCTACAATGTATATGTGTAACATACAGTCAATTCTCGAATTATCGCCATTCAATTTATCACCATTTTCGCAATACCGCCATGATTTCCCAAGAACATTGTTCCTGCTATATAAAATTCTCTTTATAACGCCAAATTCGCATACCACCATCCGCCACCCTGTCCATTATTAAGTGTCAGTTTTCTCGATATACCGCCACATGTGCATGTGATCAGTGAAGCGCGGCTAATGGGATGACACTATCCCCGTCGTAGAGCATGCAAAGCCAGGCAAGGTATATGCAATTAAATAATTAAATAAGAATTAAATAAACAAACATTTTCACATGAACAGTTATAATAATTTTGTTTCCAAGTAACTTTCTTTTGATGCATGTATTGTTTTAATATGAATAAAATGCGTAAATATTCCACTTCTTTTATTCAAAATAAAATTATAATAAATTTTAACATTGTTCCACGTCCCCACAGTAAAGTTGACGAACGTTTACTTATATATGGGAGTGCTATTGTGTTTCCGTGCTTGACTAACCAAAAAGTCAAATACGGATGGGATAAAAAAAAAATCACATTTATATGTTTTAATGACAAGAGCAAGCGCTAAAATTTATTTGCGCCAATGTATTCCCACTTGCATTTGCGCTAAAATACGTATGCGCCAAATTTTCTCATTTTACAGTATCTATTTTGCTATTTACACCTGCTTTCACCTGAATTATTTTTTTACAGCAAAATCCGATCGAAATTATGTAAATAGATTTGAAAAATTCAATTCATTACGAATCCAACGATATATAAAACATAGCATAAATGAAATATTTTGACCCTTATTAGTTCAATTTTAAACTGCACTCCATTTCATCTAAAACGCTCTAAGGGGCAGCCTGGCAAACATTCTAAGGATATGGCCAGTGCGTCAAATCATGGCATTAAGGGGTAAAGACTTAATGAAACAATTTAGAATCTATACGTCCTCAATACTTTTTCATACAATTCTATAATTTAGTTCTAGTAAAAAATGAAATTCTCTTTTCTTCCTAAGTATAATTTTGATCCCCTACCCTACCTAAGAAGGCCCTGTTTTGAACATGTAAGAATCTATAGCACTGTCACTGTGATGACTTACTTCTTTCCACCTCTGGGCGAAGTCTTTTGTTTTTGATGAGTATTTTTCCTTTGAGCTGATTGGGTGATGGTAAGGGTACTCCAGGTTGTAACTGATGATTAATGAAAAGATTGTAACAGAAAATGGTTCATCAAAAAAGAATGTGTGTATTAATAGGAATAACACTGAGACAGCAATAAGAATTTATATCTTTAACCCTTTAATTAGCCAATTTAAGTATTTCAATATTTATCAACAAGGCAAAGAACTGAAATTAAAGACTCTAATTTTTCTTTAATAAAGATGTTAAGAATC